GTGCTCTGACCTTTATAAAATGTAAAATACCACAGGAAGGGCAAAATTAAAAAACAAACAAACAAAACAACACAACGTAACAAGGTGAAACTACCAGCATTTAACAGAGCTTTAAATCAGGAGTTGAATGAGGGGACATTTAGACTTTGATTCAGGTCTGGCTTCAGTTAGTTACTTTGTTGGGTTCAGTACTGCCTCAGTGAACTGAAAAAATACTCCTAAGAAACTTGAGATCTAGATCAAACTTGAGAAACTAAATCAAATTAGTTTTTAATTTCAATAGCATACAGTTTTCACTTGTACTCCAAATGAAAACTGTTACCATTTTGACTGTTTTATTTCTAAGCTTTAATTTTATGAGAGTTTTCCGTATGGTTTTGTTTTGCCAAATATACTGTTGTTGACAAACAGCTTGTTTAAATGAACTAAACTGTCATCTCTTGATATTGCTCCATCATACAAGACCTCTGCAGGCCAGAAGGCATTTTCCATTTCTGTTCATGAAAATGGCAATAATTTTACTCAGTGGAACCTGACCAGAAATTTTTGTGATTTTTATAGTAGTGTCATATTATTTTCTTTTTTCTTGAGAGAAAATTTAATTGCTGGTAAGTAAAAAATTGGCCCTGCAGTTCATGAGCTGATCTTCAAGAACAGGCAGGTCTGACTTTGTTTCAAATGCTCCTTCACATGAATTAAATTTTGCTCTTTTCTGAAACCAGAAGCTGATATCCAGCCTCAAGATTTATGCATATAAATGCATATATGCATGAAAAACATACGATTTCCAACTGATTTTTCTGTTTTATTTTTCCCTGTTGCTCTAGGGATTCAGTAAAAGGCAAAAAAAGCCTTGACGTTCTCAATTAGCATATGACTAAAGCACCATAAAATTCACAGTGTTAAGTTGCTCCAATTAGAAAATAACACATTGTTGCTTTGTTAGGTTTCAGAGCCTCTGAACTGTTTTCAGTAATGCTGCTGTCTGAATCTGTCAGGCAGATTTCAGAGTTAAAGGTGACAATACTCCAGGAGAAAATCTTGACCCACCATTTATGATGTGTTGTAAATTGATTTCCATCCAGTAGGAGAACAAGTGGGTTGGTGTTCATTTTATAATGCATTCATTTCTAATTTTTCACAGAAATAAATGCTTTAAAATTATGTTTGTTAGGTAGTTTCAGTACCAGTATTTGGTACTATTATATATTAAGGACTTCAGTGTATCTTTACAAGTAATTCTGCAGGCTTCCATCCACAGGTTCAGGGTATATGTAAAACCCAGCTTCTTCATCTTCTAAAATGAAATGGTTCTTATATTTGTTCATATTATGTTTTTGATAACTTTTTCTGAAGAGTAAATTCTGTTTCCCCCTCTTCCAAACACGTGGTTGCTTCTCCAACTTCTCAATCCTCAGCTTTAACTTCATTATTTCCACCACGATTATCTGTTTTAATACTCCATAAAATATAATGCATACTTTATCATGTGTGTCTCTGTATACAGGTTTGGATGTAAGAACCTTTTTTTCAAATGTTCAGACATGCATCTTTCCTTGGTTGTTTTTTTTTAATAATGATATCTAAAACTCAACATCTCCTACACCAATATATTGGAAGTTAATCCCTAAAAGGAACAGGGCAAATCATACAATTTAGTTCCTGCAAAATTAGATTTTTATTGATCAACTCTGATCTTCGAATTATAAATGTAAAAACAGTATTATACATTGCCAGCATTTGGTTTTTAGGTGCTAAAGTGAAATGTTTTTCTCACAACTCCAAAAGTCTAGTTCTTGCTTGCTATCAGGAAACAAATGTAAATCAGTAGGACTTCCTAGGCAGTGTGTTTTTGAAGTCTATAGCGGTTTTTACAATTCATACTTCAGCAATGTGTAAAAGAGTAGTTTGACAACTGTTTTGCACTAGGAGATCCCAGCTCATTATGATCCCAGTAAAAAAAAGGCACTCAGACTCTGTAAGGTATTATTTAAAATGCTACTTATTAGAGGTAATGCTATAAAGAAAGAGAGGACAGTACAGAAAATCCTAGGTTCCTTCAGATGCTGGGAACCCTGAGCAAAATTACAGAACAGAGGAACTTGGTCCAGGTGCTCTGTTCTGTTTTCTGGGAAAGCAAGTATAATAATTTCCCAAAATAGTACTGTTAGTTCATACTTACTTCCTTTCAAGAGCCGATCAATCCTTTGTACTAAAATTGAGATTCATTTATGTCACTGCTCAGTTTGAAGTCTCTGCTGGTCCTTGAAATCCTTCTGGACAGATATGTGGGGAGAAGTGATATGTTGTATAAGACAAGCGTATATTTGTTAATTATTTCAATGTTGAGTATTCTACCGAATCATTTAATGCAGCAGTTGAGGGGATATTTCAGCCATTAGGGGTATTTGTAGTTGCCAGCCTTTTTATGACTGTCATAGGGCTAAAAGTTGCTTCATTTTGGCTATGAAGAACTCTCTGAGATGGAGTTGGTAGAAAAAATCCCCACACGTTAAAGGCTGGTCAGGTTGTTTCTCACAACAGGCAAAAGTGTGTCTAGTGAAAGGTATTCCCTTTCCTGAAAACCTTTGCCTTGTCAGTATTCTTTGTTTCTTGAGGAAATAATTAAGTTCTGCAGCATTCTCTGAAAACTGAATATCTATTGGAACAAGATACTCAATCAGGGCACAAATGTTCCTCAGGATTTTTGTCAATAAAAATTTGGCTACAGAGAATGTATTGGAAGAAGAGATGCTACATTTATGATAAAATAACCTATTTTTGCCAGAGGTGGGTACAAGGCAAAAATGGATTCTCTGTTACAGAGGCTCTCATCTCCCAAACCCAGTAGTTACTTCTTGGTCAGCATAGTTATGACAACATTTTGGTGGGCTGAACCCCTTCCCAAGGTATCATTCCTACTGCACTGTAAGGTCTTGCATCTGCAAGGATGCATAGGTACTAGGGAAGTGGCTCTACCCCAAGGAAAGTAAGAGCTCAGGATTGCCACCTTCCTTGTTGATTGTTGTAGTTTGGATGCATTGGGCTAGTAATCCATCCTTTCACTACCAGTTGTCAATGTCCAGAAGAGATTAGGTGTCACCTAATCTAACTGCCACTCCACTTCTTTTCCCTCATCTTATTTTTGAGCTTACTGCTTGTAAACTAAGTTCTTCCTTTAATATTATCATTTGCCTGTAGCATGAAGTCTGCAGAGATGTTAGTTCTTTCATGCTCCATGCTGTTCTGGTACAAGTTTCTTAGAACTTTCTTTAATTCAATCTTTGTCTCATTTTATATATTCTTTTTGAAAAGGAATTCATCGATTCTGGTTTCAAGTATAAGAATTCTACCCCTACAATTTTTAGTTTAATGTTTCTTTACTGTTATTATTCATCCCTCATTGTTCAACTCCAAATAACCTCAAAAATGCCTCCTTAAACTTTGTTATAGACAATTTAGTAACTCCCAGTCAGTTGAACTAATAATACTCATTCATGGCACCGGCAACTGTGTCTTTAAAGCTGAGGTTTCCAGAGCAGAGAAGCTGGGAGAATATCAAGATTTTCTTACTGCTACAGAGAGCCAGCTGGAACAACACAATCCTCCTTTAGCCTGTTAGCTGTGAGTGATCCCTGAACTCCAAACTTTCAACAAAATCTAAACTCTTGAGGGAGTTTCTAAAATGATAAAACCAAAGCCCTGAGAAGACATGAAAAATACACAAAAATCACATGAGCTTCTCCAGTAAACTAAGCATAAGTTTATTTCACCTGAGGCCTCAGCTACTTTCTTCACCCTCTCAAAACTCTTTTTTTCCTTTTTCTCTGTGATAAATTCATGCAGTCTAGCTAGTCATCACACAATAAAAATAAAATTGTAAGCCTCCCTCCATGGTGCCTTTTTCTGGGAATCAGAAGCCTCCTGTGGAGCACAAATCCCTCACAACCACTGTGTCAGAAGAAAGAGGAAAATCAAGGCTATTTCAGCCTGGGTATCTGCTTTAAAATCCAAAATGAACGCTGTTGTCGCATTTTGGTCTGGGGGAGCAACACTGTTAGACCAGCTTCCAGCTGGGGCACAGGTGTGCTCTGCCTGAATATCTCACCCCAGTTGTTTTGGGGTAGGAGCAGACGGTGACCACAGCTCCAAGCTGTGTGGGAGCACACTTAACCAAGAACAGATTGGCTTGAGCATCAACCTGTCAAAGACGGCTCTTATCTCTTATTGCTATAATTACGCATATACTATACACCACATTTACCTCTACTCTGAAAATGTGCGGAGCATTTTTTGTTAAGTTTCAGAGTTAGGCTCTTTGGAAATCTGCTCCATAGTATGGTACTACAGGTGGGGTTTTTTTCAATGGAGGAGCAAAAAGGTGAGGAGTAGGCATTCTGCGTGGGGTGATGGTGGGCGTCAAAGAGGTCCAGAACAGCTCTAACAGTGTATGGCAAAACGGTCAGCCATTCAGAGCAGAAATTGTATTTTTATTTCCAGACCATCCAACTGCAAGCAGCCCACTTGACTCGAGATCATTCTCCACCACCTATGAAGAAGCACTAGGTAGGTAATCCTCTGCCATTCAAAAGACAGTTTCCAGAAGCCTGTCAGGTTGCCTTCTAAGGGGGGGATATTACAGATTTTGTTCAGAAGAAAAAACAAAGAAACAAAAAGTCTGACATTTCAGGAATAAACAACCTTATACTGTACACTCATAGGATGAGCTCTCAAGGCCAGAGACATTTCACATTTTCATCTTCTTTAAAAGTAGTGCTTGGTCAGCACTGCATTACTGTTTCAGAAAGAAGAACAACTGATTTACTCCTCTCATGCTAGTGCAGAGGAGCCTGTGGCTAGGTGAATGGACATGAATGTAACAGTCCCTTTGGTATCACAGCACTGTAGTGAGCATTATGGATCAATGTGCGCGTACTGCTTTTCAAATACCCCTCCATTCTTAGCATTTTAACTAAGTGCAATTCCCTTTTTCTGTTTAGGAGCTGCTGGATAACCAACAAAATTATATCACGCAGTCCCTGTCTCCCTGAATCACATCACCCTTTCCAGGTCCCATTCTCTGTTCCTCCCAGTACCCCACCTGGCAATGGAAAGAAATGAAGAAATGTTCTTTCTTTGAGTAGCATCACTATTGCCATATTTTGCAGCAGACAAATAGGACTTTTGAAAACTGAAAGCTGCTTTTTGCCCTAACCATTTCTCTTTATCTCCTGAGCAAAGATTTAAAAGGGTGGATGATGTTATCTGTGATTCTACTTCTCTGACTCATGCCTAGTGACTCTTGGGCTGGTATTAGTTACACAGACTGGCAGAGATCCCTGGTGGTCTGGTGAAAATTATAAGCAGGACCGCACAGGTACTTTTCTGGCAGTAACTTACTTTCTTACATTTCTTTTGTAATGGGATCCTTTCGTTAGTGTGAACATGGATTTTTCCACACATGTTCTTCCCTCCTGCAGACTGCCCCCCTAGCTGGGAAAAAAAGGGGAAAAAATGCTACTTCTTTTCTGAAATCCAGGAAAAAAAAGACTGGAACGCCCTCCGTAAAGAATGTACTGACATGAATTCAGACCTGGTGATCATTGACAATGAGGAAGAACTGGTGAGATCTAAATCCATGCTTCTAGGGTTGCTTGACCTGTATGCCAAAGGGGTGATGGGTTACACTTGTGTCTTCTCATGTTAGATGTCTTTGGGGGGACTATAATCTACTGCTAGCTGTATACATCAAGCATGTCTGTATGGTAGCAAATACCTTCACAGTACGATGCATCTTGGTTCTTGAAGTCTTGCATCTGGAAGCTTCTCTCCCCAAGCATGCTCCTGTGGGAAAGAGCAAACTCTCTGCCTACGTGACTTATGTTTTAAAGGGATTTAACACACAAACCAAGATCAAGCAGATCGAACAGACACTTATTTGTGAGAGCCATTGCTTTGACAAAAACTGAAAAGGCTTTCCCATCACAATCAGAATAGAAAAGTGTCTCCGGGTATCAAGTCACACCTGGCTAACTACAATGTATAGCTTTAGTGGTATCACAGGTGTATTATTCTATTTAGTCCATACCTAAGAATCCCCAGGAAGAGAGATGAGGTTAAATAAAAATGGAAAAATTCAGCCTCTGAAGCTGTGGAAAGAGATGGTGTGGCTGGATGCACACTGTTCTTTCTGTGTTGGCTATTTAGCACTAAGCTTTCTGTGTACCTCTGGTGAAGAAAAAGTAATTTTAATGTATTATCATTGTTTGTTTCCTTTTTAGCATTATCTTACTTCACGATCAAGTGGTCATTACTACTTACTTGGTCTCAAATACTCTACGAGCGAGAAGAAGTGGAAGTGGATTAACAACGTGGAACATAGCACAAACATGTAAGCTTATTCCAGCAAGTCACTGTGATGCGACATCTGGAAACAGTAAAAAAAAACAAACCCAGAGCCAACAACAGGGAGTACAAGTGCGATCAGGGTCTGAAATTTGTAGCAACCTGATTCCTTGAGATTCAGGTGCTTCAGCACATCACTGTGACAAGTCAAAGGGAGCCCATAAATGAGTCATGTGGGAACACAGGCATGTCACATCAGGATGGCAAGAGAGGACACAGCTGTAGTTCTGGTGGGGAAGGAGGAATCTGACTAGATGGAGTTCAGTGGGGAAAGAAAGGATATGTCAGACAGGTACAAGAGAAAGTGTGATGTCAGCACCATTGAATGGAGGCTACCAAAGAAGGGGAAGGTCTCTGGATGGGAAAGCATAGCCCATATACTTTTGTTGAGGTCTGGGGAAGAAAATTAAGGAATGGGAGGGAGACTCCAACAAGGCAGCTTCTAATCCCACTGACAATAATATAGCTTAGCAGTAAGGCCAGGTGCCACTGTCTTTCATGGAAGCGATACTGACTGCATTGCACCCAGCTAGGTCAGGAATGCAACTAAATCTGACTTTCTCTCCCTGTTCAGGTTTACTATAGGAGGAGACCTTATTGACTATTTCTGCAGTGTCATTGGACATGGCAAAATAGAAACTGCGTCTTGCAGTGGATCCTCAACAACGCAAAATATGTGTGAAAAAGCTGCAAGTGTTTCAGAAAGGCAGAAGGAGAGCTAAAACCGAGAGGTCCAGGCAGGAATGTCACCCCCAGGTTCCTGCAGGAATGATGGATGGCATTTGTCTCACTTATCTTTAGCTGCCTAAATATCTAGTCAAAGGGACTCTTACAGGCTTCCTCTAGACACCTTACCAAGCTTAGCACATTCTTTCCCAAGATGGCTGTCTGAGACTGGATGGATCCCCCTCTAGAGGAGCCTGCATTTTCACACATTAGGAGTCTGGGTGACTTGCTCATACCAGATGCCTGACTTTCAGGCAGCCACTGTTAGGTGATTGACTCCAACCTCAGTGATAGGTGTGATCACAAACAGATCCTATCTCTCATAGACACATGCATATATACCCATACATTCACAGTCCTGCTTGTGCACAAGGAGACACTTCAAGGCCTTGCCATGCATTCGTCTTCCCTGCAGCCACAAATAAAGGTTAACACATATTTATATTTTGGATCCTGTAGAAAAGTGCAACCACACTCATTGCCATGTGTCATAGATATGATTGACAGGACAAAGACAAATGTGTGTGTGTATAAACCTTACTTTGTAAAAGACTGTCTCTGTTAAAAAAACATACTGGATACCAGACCCTGTGAGGCTAAAATGTGATTCATCAAAAGATAAATGATCCTACACCACAGTTCTATGAATAAAATCACCACTAGTCCTGTGTAGGTCAGGGAAAGTATATCAGATTTAGACTTAGCCCTGCTGGGGAAGGGCATAGGTTGAAGAGCAGTAGAGACCACCATAGCCTGAAAAACAGAGTCACAATAATAGCTCAACTGGACAGAAAATAGTCAAATCAAAAACACAGTTACCTGTGAAGAAGCTGGTGAGAAGTGTGAGAATGACCTACAGAGAATGACAACACAGCGGACTGTCCTGGTTTTCTTGGATAATGATCAAAGGTGAAAATCATGCATGAAGGTTTTTCCTGCACAGAAAAGTTAGAGCCAACACCAGAAACAGGTGGTATCAGTAGAGCAGAAATGTGACCAGCAAACAGTGAATATTACCAAAGCTCTTCCAATGTGCTTTAGCAGCTCTTGGGACCCTGGGGCTTTTGTGACTCTGAGGATTATCATTCTTACCATGTCCTTTGAGGCAGAATCATTCCTACTTAAAATGGTGCCATTCATGGCTCTCTCCTTCATCTGCAGGATGGAGAAAGCTCTGTGAATTCCCTGATGCAGTGACAGTGATGTCATACTTTCTCACTGAAAAATAAAAAGGTTTTGCTTAATCAAAGAATTTCTACTCAGAATGTTGTGACCAAGGGTAGCGAAAAATGAAATCATACAGGGAAAACTCTCTCATTCTGACTTAAAAGCACATTTTGATGTCCCTCAGACAAGCAATACTTCTCACTGCCCTCATTCATCAAGACTCTTCTGGAATATATTTGTATTTCCCCCACTGACCTTTAAACACCAAAGAACAAAGTAAGAATATGTAGCTGTAACAGAATAATCTCAATGGCAGCAACCAGAATCTAAACTATTATTTCAGAAGGAAGCTGTACTGGAGGGGCCATTTGTTTGTACTCAGTTTACTGGAGGGGATGGGAGAGGGCTCTATATTGTGTTATGGAGCAGCCTGGAGGAGGGCTGCCCTTTTATTTTCATATTCCAGCTGCTGCCCTTTGATCAGGTGGGCTCTACTGAGGGCGAGGGGCAGGGAAATATCTCTTCCCTGGGAGACACTGTACCTAGGGGGAGTTTGGAGCCTTCAGCAAGCACCAAATCCAAGCAGCTATGCATCAGAGGTGACAGAAACAGGGAAGCTGCCCTAAGGCCACTGTGGGGCAGTGGATGATGGACATGAAGTCCATCAAACCCAGAAAGCCACAGAAAGTCACAGGACTAAGGAGCAAACACGGCTTAGAAGGAAATCTTTAACAAGGGAGGAAGTTTGATTTAAAGTGGTTTATTTACTCTGCCTCTGTGCTTTCTTTATTCACAAAGTTATCTTTTTCTGATTTTGTTATCTTAGTTTTTAAATAAACCTGAAGTTTACAGTTTGGGATTCTTTGATTATCTTTTGGCACTCCCACTGCAAAGAAAAGGTGAAACATTTCACACTAACTCTGACTTGGTCAGGGTCTCATCCTGATGCCAAGGACAGGGAATCCCAAACCAATCCAAACCTAACCTCTCAGAACTTCTGTGGTTGGTGCCTGCAGAGAATTACAAGGTTGGTTTTAACTCTTTTTGCAGTTGGGCAATAGGCTGAAACTCATTTGGATAGGTCTGACAGCGTCAGCCACATAGGGCACATCCTGGACACATGGCAGGCTCCATTATTGACCATTATCAAGAAGACCTGCAACTGAGGGACACCTCCAAGAGGTGCTCCTCAGGGCTTGTCCTATTTTCATAGACCTGTATCCCAGTGTGTTTCAAGAAAAATCCCCTCAGCTATATTGCTGCTGATGAAGGGACTAACCAAGTGAACCCAGGGTAGTCACAATGCAGAAGCGGCCCTAGGAAAGTGTGCTCAGCATGCTGGCAGCGAGGCGCAGAGCTGAAGTCTGCCACAGAGCTGCATCCTGGGGATGTCCTTTGTCAGAAGGGCCATTCTTTGCAGCCCTGTTTCCACCATCCTGTCTACACTTGAGCCAACAAAAGGCAGGGTTTTTTTGATTTAAAATTATTTTCACAAAAACACTCAGCAGCTTTAAAATAAAAATATACATTTATCACACTGGATTGTCCTCTTCTTGCAACAATGCTATCCCCTACAGTCTGTGTTAGGATGGTAGGCAATTTATGCTCCAGTCACCGACTGCTATCAAATTCCACTGAAAATCTATATAAAAACATTTGAAAAACCCTCAAAATTTACAAGTTAGGAAACACCAGGTTTCCCAGTCACCCAGGATTAACTGGGTTACTCTGCTCAGTTACTGAATGGGGCAGT